GTGCACAGGCACACGAGGACACAGTCCCAGGACACCTCTGTGGGATTTGGGGGGCACATCACGGACTCATCCTGTTCCCCCTCCCCTTTCCCCAGCCCCCCATCCCCTGCTCGGCCCTGGGCAGGACTCACCTCGGGCTCCCTCTGCCTCCTCCTCCCCTTCCCCACCTGCACCGACCGAAAGGAAAAGGTGATGGAGCCGCTCTGGGGGCGCTTCCCAGGACCCCCCACACCCCATCCCGACCCCCGCATCCCCCCCTCCCCGTCCCGGGGGGCTCACCGGGCCGGCAGTGCCTGTCGTAGTCCCCGCAGCAGCTGCCGAGCCTCTCGCAGCGCGGGTGACAATGACACGCGTCCTCCTCGCTCAGGGGCTCCCCGCAGCGGCCCTCGCAGGACTCGGGGGCCGTGTACAGGTCTTTGGGGGGGGAAAGGAACAAAAACACCTTGGGGTTGGGTGGTCCCGAGATGGGCACATCCCGTCCTTCCCACCCCGCGGAGAGCCCGAACTCCTCCTGCCTTGGAGCCGCCCGGGAGAGCCGTCAGGGCTTGGAGGTGACATCTCCTCTCTGCCCAGCGCGTCGGGGCCGTTCCCAGCAGGAAACAGGCCGGGTTTGCTCCCTCCTGATTCACCGGGATGAGCAGGGACACCCCGGGCCCTGCCCGAGGGGGCCGCCGCATTCCAGACACGCACCCCGTGTCCTTCCTGCCTTTGGGAACACCGGGAAGCGCTTCCCGAGCTGTTCACGTGCTGAACAGCGTTGTTTGAGCACCTGCCTGGCTGCCAAAAATAGCAGCGAGGCTCTGGGGAGGGGGGGTGTCACTCGAGTGTCACTCGCAGAGGGACGAGGGACGCTCCTCGCCCGGCCGGGAGAAGCTGCGGCAGAACGAGGAGCTGGGTTTGTCCCCAGGGAGGAGGGGAAGGCGCTCCGGGCTCCCGGTGGGAGCAGGAGGTGGTGGAAAAGCCACCTCGGCAGCCCTTTGTGTCCCATCCCCGTCCCAGGGAGGTGACCCCGTCCCAGGACGCATCCCAAGAGCTGCCACCCCCGCCAAGGGATCCCTGCAGGATCTCCGGAGCATCCCTGCGGGAGAAGGCGTGGCCACCCCTGCCAAACCTGCAATCACCTCCATCTGAGGCACCGCCGGGGTTGCCCAACCCAGCTGCGGCTCCGGCGGGGGAAACGTGGCCTCGGGGCAGCTCCTGGCACGGCACGGCCCGGGCGGGGACATCCCGGGGGTCAGAGGGACATCCCGGGGTCAGAGGGACATCTCAGGTGTCAGAGGGACATCCCAAACAGGAGAGGGACATCCCGGGGGTCAGAGGGTCAGAGGGACATCCCGGGGGTCAGAGGGACATCCCAGGTGTCAGAGGGACATCCCAAACAGGAGAGGGACATCCCAGGGATAAGAGGGACATCCCGGGGGTCAAAGGGACATCCTGGGGATCAGAGGGACATCCCAGGGGTCAAAGGGACATCCCAGGGGTCAGAGGGACATCCCGGGGATCAGAGGGACATCCCAAATGGGAGAGGGACATCCCAAACAGGAGAGGGACATCCCGGGGATCAGAGGGACATCCCGGGGGTCAGAAGGACATCCCAGGGATGAGAGGGACATCCCAAAGAGGAGAGGGACATCCCAAACAGGAGAGGGACATCCCGGGGATCAGAGGGACATCCCAGGGGTCAAAGGGACATCCCGGGGGTCAAAGGGACATCCCAAACAGGAGAGGGACATCCCAAACGGGAGGGACATCCCAGGGATCAGAGGGACATCTCAGTCATGACAGGGACACCCTATGGGGCACCCAAGGGACTCCCCACCCGAGCCCCCCCTCCCCGGGGCAGCCTCCCCGAGCGACGCCAGGGACGACAGGGCTAAGTCAGCCCGGCTCACTCATCCCGGCTCGTTTTCCAGCCGCGTTCCCGGCGGGATTGTGCAAGGCAGGAGCTGCCCACACATCACTCACCGTTCCCGGGGCACGTGAGGCCCGAGCAGGTCCCGGCACGGCCCCGGTTCCCCCCCCCAGGGGCTGGGGGTGACTCAGAGGGGCCGGGACAACTCGGAGGAGCCACCTCGGTGTCACCACCCCCACCCCCTGGAGGGACCTGGGTTGGGGTCGGGGGTCTCCCTGCCCTAAATGGCACGGCCCTAAATGGCTCCAGGGACATCCCCCCCCCACCCCGGGTGGTCACAAACGGTGGCAAATCTGGGCAAATATCCCTTCCCAGCCCCCTCCCTGCCCCCCCTGAGCAGCTCCTGGGACACAAACGGGTCCATTTTCACCTCTGCCAGCAGCAGTTTGGGCCCAGGGCAGGGGGTGTTGTTCCCCCAACAGCCCCCCCCGGGGTGTGGGAGATGGTTGGGAGGTGACCTTGGGGACACGGGGGGGATGAGTCACAAACCCCCAGCCTGACTCAAACCCGGGTCAAACCCCAGCCCGGCCTCTGAAAAGGCCTCTTGGGAGGACAAACAAGCTCCAAACAGGAACAATTCCAGCCTGGGCTTCCCAAAGGTGACTCCTCCCGGTGCTCCCAACCCACAGGGAGCTGCTTGGTCTGTGGGACAATCAGGGAAGAAAATCTCCCCCCACCGTCGTGGCCGGACCAGGGGAAGGGAAGTGGCTCCAGGCCCACCCAACAGGTCCATCAGGAACAGCCCACGGCCCGGCCAGGAGCTCCCCAGGCACCCTGATCCCGGTTTTTCCTCTGGGATAACTCCTGCATGGAGCTGGGAAACCGCAGGACACTCCTGAGAGCCACAGCCCTTGCTCCTCCTCCTCCTCCCTCCGGACCCCTCGGGACCAGCGGGAAGGGAAAGGGGAGGTGGATAAACCTGGGAATGTCAGCCCAGGAGGTGGATAAACCTGGGAATGTCAGCCCAGGAGGAGGTGGATAAACCTGGGAATGTCAGCCCAGGAGGAGGTGGATAAACCTGGGAATGTCAGCCCAGGAGGAGGTGGATAAGCCCGGGAGTGTCAGCCCAGGAGGAGATGGATCCACCAGGGAATCTCCCCCTGTGGATAAACCACATCCCAGGCCGAGTCCCCCAGACCTTTCCCCTCCCCACACACACAATTCCCAACCTCCAGAGGAACCAGTTGTCCCAGCACAGCCCAGCTCCTGGTTTTTGGCAGCCCTGTCCCCACCCTCCCCTCCCATCCCACTTCCCGTGGGATGCTGCGTGCAGGCTGAGCCCCCTCCCCACACACTCCAACCCCTTCCCCCCCCTCCCCAAAATCACTCACGGCCATTGACGCAGCCCAGGGCGATCCCCACCCCCAGCAGCACCGTCCAGGTTTCCATGGGCGCGGCTCGGGAATGCCGGGGCGCTTTTCCCGGCGCTTCCCGGTGCTGCTCCCTGTTATATGCGGGTGTCCCCCCCCCTTCCCGGGAGCTCGGGGGGGGTTCGAGGGAGGAGTTTGATGCCACCCCGGGCTCCACGGGCAAAAAGGCTGCGCCCGAACTTCCCCAAAACTCATTAGGAGCGCGGCTCTAATTACAGGCTGCCCGCGGTGGGAGGAAGGGCTGGTAAATCCTGTATTGTCCCGGTGTTGCTCCACTCACCACCATCCCCCCCGCCACGGGATGTGGGGAGCGGCACGGGGGGGTCTTTGCCGTGGGAGGAGGGGATTGGTGATTAGGACCCCTCGGTGTTGCTGGTGCTGAGTGGGAACAACGTCCTGCCCCCTCCCACAGGTTTTTTTGGGGGTGACGAAGCTCCCCCAGCTCGGGTGACCCCCCTGGAAGTTGTGACCCCCCCCCTACAAGGCTCGGTTGGAGCCTCCAGGTCCTCAGGAACCCCCCAATTCCCAACCCCTCCCTACCCCGGGTATGGGGACCCCAAAAAGGGTCATGGGGGGAGTGAGAGGACACTCCAAAAAGGGTGACTGGGAGGGGATGGAGGAGGGGATGGAGGAGGGGATCCCCCCTCAGTGCAACCCCTCACCTGGGACACCATTCCCAACCCCCTTCCCAATTCCCAACCCCCCTCCCGATTCCCAACCCCCCTTCCCGGAGCCCCTCCCGGCCCCGGGGCTGTCCCAGCTGGCACGGGGAGGGCACCTTTGGTGCCACAGGGACCGGGCTCGGCCTCTTCCTCACCCCTCTGTCATTTCCTGGCCTGTCCTCCCCCGGTTTTTCCTGACGGGAGTTGTGTCACCCTGTGCCGAGCCTGCTCGGGATGGAGACCGACCCCATCCAAAAGTGTCCCTCAGAATTCCAGGGGGGAATCCCCTGGTGCTCCACCCAGTGAAAAAGAGTTGGAGACCCCTCCCAAAATTTGCCCCGAACTGAGAGTCCCCCCAAGGGAATGGAAAGAGACCCATTTTTTAGGCTCAGAAAGCGGGAATGTGGGAAAAAAAGAGGGGGGGGGGGTCCCGCCAAAAACTCCTGGAAGGGGGGATTTTCCTGGGGGGTTTTCCTCGGGGGAGGTGCCAGGGGGTGTCTCTGCTGGGGGAACAAAAAGGGCAGCTCAGCCTGGCTTACAAAAATACCTCTATTGCTCTGCTCCCCCTGCCCAAAGCCCCCCCGGCTCCCGATGATCCCCCGGGCAGATCCGTCTGTCTGGTGTCGTCTCTGTCTGTCCATCCCAGATCTGTCTGTCCATCCCAGATCCATCTGTCCATCCCAGATCTGTCTGTCCATCCCAGATCCATCTGTCCATCCCAGATCTGTCTGTCCATCCCAGATCCATCTGTCCATCCCAGATCCATCTGTCTGGTGCCATCTCCGTGCCTGCAGGGATGAGCTCTGGGACAGCTCCAGAGCCCAGAGGGGCCCCCAGAGCTGGGCCAGGGGCTGCCCCACCACCAACAGCTGGGCTGGCACATTCCTGATCCAGGGTCCACATCCCAATCCAGGGTCCATATCCCTGCTCCAGGGTCCACATCCCAATCCAGGGTCCATATCCCTGCTCCAGGGTCCATATCCTGCTCAAGGGCTCCACGTCCTTCTCCAGGGCCCCATACCTTGCTCCAGGACCCCACGTCCTTCTCTGGGTCCCACATCCCAGCTCCAGGTCTGTATCCCTGCTCTGGGTCCCATATCTTTCTCCAGGACCTCATATCCTTCTCCAGGGCCCCACATCCTTCTCCAGGGCCCCACACCCAGCCCCAGGGCCCCGGGCCCTCCCTCCCTCAGGGCTCCAGGTCCCGGGAGAGCCTCAGCAGCTCCTTCTGGCTGTCGATGGCTCTCAGGTGCTGCAGGTAGGCCCAGGTGGACACGGGGCTCCTCACACTCAGGGACTGCTCCGAGCCTGGGGGGAGAGCCAGGGCAGGGCTGGGATCCCCCCCCACAACCTCTGCATCCCCCTGGGAACGTCCCATGGATCTCCCCTCATCCCCCCCTAAACCTCTGCATCACCCCTGGACCGGTTCGTGGGTTCCCTCCATCCCCTCCTCTTGGCTCCTGGATCCCCTCCATCCCTTCCCAAACCTCACTGTCCCCCCAGCTTGGCTCCTGGATCCCCTCTGTGCCTCCCAAACCTCACTGTCCCCCCAGCTTGGCTCCTGGATCCCCTCCATCCCTTCCCAAACCTCACTGTCACCCCCAGCTTGGCTCCTGGATCCCCTCCATCCCTTCCCAAACCTCACTGTCACCCCCAGTTTGGCTCCTGGATCCCCTCATCACCCCTCCCTCTGCTCCCAGATCCCATCCAGCCCCCTCTCCATCCCCCCTCCCTGGGCTCAGGGACCCAGTATGGGGCTGGGGGGGAGTCTCCCGGGTCAGGGAAGGTTTATTTGGGGTGAGGGGGTGACCCCCCCAGACTCACAGGTGGAGATCCTGACGGCCTTGGGGTCCTCCTGGCGGTGCGGGGAGCGATTCCTCAGGGGGGACAGCGGGGCTGGGAGGGGACAGGGACAGGAGGGGGGCTCAGCCCCATTGCCAGCACAGCCTGGGGGGGCTCAGCCCCAGCCCTGGGTGGGCACAGAGAGCAGAGGGGGGAGGGCTCAACACTCCCCCCACCCCAAAACACTCACGGTGGGCGTGGCCCCGGCAGCGCTGCAGGACCCTCACGGTCTTTGCCATCATGTGCTGGGGGGGACACACACACAGAGTCACCCCCTGTGTCTCCCCCACGCCCCCCCAGCCCCACAGGCTCAACAAACACCACCCCCTGTGGCTGCAGGGACAGCCACGACCCCCCCTGACGGGTCCTGGCTGCTGGAGAAGCCCTGGATGGGCCCCCCCAGGCGATGGGGGCACAGCAGGACCCCCCAGGGTGGGGTCCCCCCTCACCATCTTCTCGAAGTTGATGAGGTTCTCGGCCCACGTGCGGTTCCCCTCGTGGATGAACGTCATGTCTGGGGGGATTTGGGGCTCAGATGGGGCTTTCCTGGGTGCTGGGAAAGGCTGGATGCACCCAGAGGGGTGCCCAGCACCCCTCCCCTCACAAACCCCCCCCCAAAAAGGGGTGCCCAGGACCCACCTTTGAGGAGCAGGGGCACGAAGGGGATGATGGGGGGGCTCATCTTGGCCACCGCCAGCCGGTAGACCCTGTGGTTCCACGAGGGGTCCTGGGGGTGCAGAGGGACCTCAGGGGGTGAGAGGGGGGTCACAGGCACCCCTGTGCCCTTCTCCAGGGGTGAATCCCGCCGGGAAGGGGGGATATGGGGTGGGAAGGGTCCGGGCTCACCAGCATCCTCTCCAGTGCCGAGTGCAGCTTCCGGACCTTGTGGGGCAACCTCTGCACGGGGGGAGGGGGTCACTGGGCTGGGACCCCCGATCTGCCACCCCTGAGACCCCCCCCAGGCCACCCTGCTGTCCCCCCCAGACCCCCCCTCACCTCCCAGGTCCGGGCCAGGCGAGTGACGGCCGTGTTGCTCATCCCAAACATCACCGCGAAGAAGGAATTCAGGTTCTTCTGCTCCTTCAGGCTGCGGGAGGGGACAGGGATGGGACAGGGATGGGGATAGGGATGGGACAGGGATGGGACAGGGATGGGACAGGGACAGGGATGGGGACAGGGATGGGACAGGGACAGGGATGGGACAGGGAGACAGGGACAGGGAGGGGGACAGGGATGGGGACAGGGATGGGACAGGGAGGGGGACAGGGATGGGGACAGGGATGGGGACAGGGATGGGACAGTGACAGAGATGGGACAGGGATGGGGACAGGGACAGGGAGGGGACAGGGATGGGGATGGGGAGTGGGACAGGAAGGGGGACAGGGAGATAGTAGCAGGACAGGGACAGAACAGGGAGAGGGATTGCGACAGGGATGGGGAGAAGGAGAAGGAGACAGGGGCAGGGATAGGAACAGGGATGAGGACAGGGATGGGGACAGGGACAGGGAGGGGACAGGGACAGGATAAAGAACAGGGACAGGGATGAGGACAGGGATGAGGACAAGGATAGGGACAGGAACAAGGACAGGACAGGGATAGCATTAGGATCAGGAACAGGGACAGGGATGGGAACAGGGATGGGGACAGGGATGAAGACAGGGATAAGGACAGGGATGGGGACAGGGATGGGGACAGGGATGAAGACAGGGATAAGGACAGGGATGGGGACAGGGATAGGGACAGGATCAGGAACAGGGACAGGAATGGGAACAGGGATGGGGACAGGGATGGGGACAGGAACAGGGACAGGATCAGGAACAGGGACAGGATCAGGAAGAGGGACAGGGATGGGGCCAGGCACAGGATCAGCATCACAGTCAGGGTGAGAGGAGCAGGTCCAGGACCAAGGCTGGGCTGGGGGTGTGTGTGTGTGGGGTGTGTGTGTGTGGGGTGTGTGTGTGTGGGGTGTGTGTGTGTGGGGTGTGTGTGTGGGGTGTGTGCGTGTGGGGTCACCCCCATCTCTTCACCCCCCCCGGGGCACTCACTGAGCCGCCACCTTGACGAACTTGCGCAGGAGCTGCGCCCGCCGCGCCACGTCCGGGCACAGGAGCAGCTCGGTGGCCACCCAGAACTGCAGCTCGTTGAAGCGCCGCAGCACCCGCTCCAGGTTGGCCGTGGTCACCTCCTGCAGCCTCTGCGGCCCCACGATGTAGTGGATCATCTCCACCTGCGCCAGCCCGGCCCCACAGGTCAGCACTGTGAGGGGAGGGGGTCCCCAAATCATCCCCCCCCACCCCGTCCCCCATGGGAGGCCCCCAACCCGACCTGGTGGGCGCTCCTGAAGAGGCTCCAGTCGTGGTCCGTGAGGTGGCTCGCCAGGTCCTTGGAGCTGATCAGCTCCAGGGTGTCCGAGGAGCCCACGTGGGGGCCCAGCTGCTCGGGGTGGGGGGTCTGTGCACAGCAGAGAAAACCCCCCCCCAAACTGAGCCCCTCCTGCCCTTAAAACCAACCCGGGAGGGAGGGAGGGAGGGAGGGAGGGATGGACACCCCCAACCCAAACCCCACCCTGGGGGATGCTGGGGGCTCTGCAGGATCTCCCAGGGTCTCACCAGGCTGCCCAGCTCGTCCATGGTCACAGCAAAGAGCCGCTCGTTGAGCCCCAGCGCCGTGAACACCCCCACGGCGTCCGGGGGCAGCCCCACCTTGTCTGTAGGGGGACAAAAGGGACCAAATCGTGGCTGGGCATGGGGATGGGGGGTGTGGAAATGCCCCCCCTTGGCCCTGAGAGAGCCCCACTGACCTCCGGAGGAGTTCACCCTGACCAGGACGTGCTCGCCAGGCCCGCCCAGGCGCGGGGCCAGCGCCCGCAGCACCTCCCGCACCGAGGCGGCCACGGGCAGCACCGCCACCAGGCACGAGTGGTCGGCTCTGTAGATCTCATAGGGCACTGTGGGGGTGGTGAAAGGGGTTTCAGCGGGGCAGGAGTGCCCAGGGGACGGTCCCCCCTCCAGGGTGGCACTACCTTTGTCCTGGGCTCTCAAGGCGCAGCCCCCGTCCGCAGCCGCCTCCTCCGCCCCACCGAGCCAGCACCCCGAGCTCCGTGCCTGCAGGGAGGTGGGATGGACTATGGGGGCGTGGCTCCACCTGACACCCCTCCTGCTGAGGGTCCCAGACCCCCAAAAAACACCCCCTGTCGCCCCAGGGTGACCCCTACCTTGGGCTGGGGGGACGCGCTGCCGTCGCCGTTCTCCAGCCTGGGGGGGGATGAAGGTGGAGGGTGAAGCCCAGACACACAATTCCCACCCCAAAATCTGCCCCCCCCGACCCCCTCCCCATGGCTGGGAACACCCTGGCCCAGGTGGGGACAAGGTGGGGACAATCCCTCCACAGGGAAACACAACCCCCCACCCCACCACACACACACACAGGGGGTGGGACACGGGGACACAGCCACCCTGGGGGGGGTGAGGGGGGGGGCACAACTTCATCCAGGACCCCCCCAAAACCTCCTGGGGGAAGGGGAGGGAAGGGGGGATGGATGTGGACTCACCCCCGTGGCCGCCGTCGCTCCTGCTCCTGCCCCAGCCCGCCCAGCCGGGGGTCGCGGCTCGCCAGGTCCGCCAGGTTCTGTGTGGTGGGGATAAAGGGCTGGATAATCAGCACTGGGGTGGTCCCTGCGACCCCCCCTGACCCCCCAGCCCTGTCCCATACCTGCAGCAGGGCGGTGGTGCCGCGGTCGCCCTGCAGGAGCCGCCCATAGAGCAGCAGCCACTGCCCCACCAGGCGCAGGATCTTGCGGCGCTTGAGCAGCGCGAACGACGCCTTGTCCTGCTCCGAGCCCTCCAGCGGCTCCGAGCGGAACCTGACGCGGGGTCAAGGGTGCCAGGCGCCAGGGGGGGACCCCCGAGGGATGGGCCACCCCGTTCTTTCATTCCAAAAAGGTGGGGGGTGGGAGGGGGCGGGAGGGGAAAGGGGGTGGCAGAATTGCCGGGTGGGGAAAGAGCCCGGAGGTTGTCGGGGCCAGGCCGGGACACAAATCCACCCTGGCACCCCCAGCACAGCACCCAGGGCCACCTCCAGGGACCCAACCCCACCATGGCACCCAGTGCCACCCCCAGGGACCCAAACCCACCCTGTCACCCCCACCCTGGCACCACCTCCAGGGACCCAACCCCACCCCGTCACCCCCATGTCACCCAGTGTCACTCCCAGGGACTCAAACCCCACCATGGCACCCCCACCCTGTCACCCAGTGCCACCCCCATCCTCAGACCCCTCCAGGGGTTGGTGACCCCACCTCTTCTGGGGCAGCCCCTCCCAGTGTCTGATCCCCCTCTCTGGGAAGAACTGGGGTCCCCAGGGGGGTGACAGCTCCCTTGGGGGGAGTGACATGTCCCCGGGGGGGGGTGACCAGAGCCCAGTGCCCCCCAGTTGCAGCCCCAGAAGGATACTGGTGCAGCAGAGCCCTGCAGAGCTGCGAGCTGGGCATGAACACGGTGTAGGTGAGCAGGAAATCCCCCAGCAGGGTGTCTGGAAGGGACCAGGACACTGTCACTGTCACACCCCCCTGGGGGGGACACACAGTGACCCTGGGGACACTCTGGGGGACGGGGGGGGGACCCTGAAGCCCGGGGAGGTGGCTCCAAGGATTTGTGACCCACTGGGGACACCTCCTGGTTCCCACCTGGCCTGGATTTCCCCTCTCCAGAGGTGCAGGGAGATGGGGAAAATGTGGGAGAGGGGCCGAGTCCTTCCCCCAGCCCCATTTTTGGGGATTTTTAGGGATTTCAGGGTGAGGGGGAGCAGCTTCAGGGGTTGAACAGCGGGATGGAATGGGATGGGAATGGATTGGGAATGTTGTGTGGGATTGGAACAGGAATGCTGGGAAAGGTCCTGGACAAACTGGGACAAGCTGGAATGGAACTCTGGATGCCCAGAGAGCCCCAGGAAAAGCCTGGGAAGCAGCCTGGGATGGGAGTGGATTGGAAAGTTGCCCGGGACTGGGGTGGGAACGCCGGGAAAAATTCTGGGATAATTTCGATGCTGGTCCCCCCCACCCCTCTATGGGTGGCTCTGGGGTGGCCCCCCAGGGACCCCCCACCTACCCACGGGGTCGTAGAGGGTGGCATCGAGCCTCATGAACTCCAGCAGGTGCTCCAGGATCTTCTCGGGCGTCCCGGCCACCACGGAGTAGCGGGCGGAGGAACCCCCGCCCTGCAGGTCCTTCTGCAGCACCAGCACCACCTTCCCGTGCTCCTTCAGCCTCACCGTGTTGGCCTCCACGTCCTGGGGGATGCTCCGGATAGCCGGGATATCCCCGGGGATTTTTTGGGATACGGGGGAAGGGTCCCTCAGGAGAGCGGGGCAGACCCCAAAACCCCCCCGTGTGCCACCCCCAAAACCCACCTGACCCACCTCCCCAGGGCACCCCGGCCCCTCTCACCCCAACCTGCCCCCAATACCCACTTGAGACCCCCATGTCCCTCCTCAGCCCCCACACGAGGCCCCCAACCCACCCCTGTGCTCCCCCAAAAGCCCCCTCCCCACCCTGGAAGTCACCCCTTGTCCACACACAGGGAGTGGCTGTGTGGCCCTCACCCCAAACCCCCCAAAACCCCCCTCAAAAGCCCCCCAAAATCCCCCCATAACCCCCCAAAAGCCCCCCAGGGCCCCCCCCGTGCCCCCACCTTGAGGATGCGGTGGAAGTGCCCCTTGTCACGCGCAGGGGTGACCGTGTGCCCCTCACCCCAAACCCCAAAAACCCAAAACCCCCAAGCCCCCAAAATCCTACCCCAAAAGCCCCCCTGTGCCCCCACCTTGAGGATGCGGTGGAAGTGCCCTGTCCATGCACAGGAAGCGGCCGTGTGGCCCCCTCACCCCAAACCCCAAAAACCCCCATAAACCCCCAAAATCCCCCAAACCCCCTAACCCCCTACAAAAGCCCCTCAAAGCCCCCTCCCCGTGCCCCACCTTGAGGATGCGGTGGAAGTGCCCCTTGTCCACGCGCAGGAAGTGGCGTGCTGCTCCCATGGGTTTGATGGTGGCCGCGCAGGGCGCGTCGTTCACCAGCGCCAGCTCCCGAAATCGTCCCCTCGTGC